AAGTACCGATCTTCGTTCCAGGGAATAAGAGGGAGATAAAACAAGAGAAAAGTGTTCTAAGCAGTGAGTGAAAGGTGTTGCCTAGAGATGTTCTCTGGGCTGCAGGGAACTGCTGTAGCAACTTAGGTAGGTTCTAGTGATGTCTGACACGGGGAGAAAGGAGCCATTAAAGTCCTGGTAAGGCCTGGACATTATTGGAAGAAAGTACAGAGTAAGAAGAGAACAAGAGTAAAGACAGAGGCTTAGAAGCGGGTTGAAGGAGAAAGTCAGTGAAGGATCCTGATGAGAATCCGTCAGGAGGTGAAAGAGAACCAGGTGTGTGTGGATGTCCTGGAAATCAGGAAGCGTTTTTTCAAGAAGACAGCGTCAAATGCCCCATAATCATCAAGTCTGATAAGAAATGAAAAGTATCCATTGGATTTGGTAATTGGGAGATTACTGGAAATTTAGCAAAAGCATCTTTAGTGGTGGGAGCAAAAGGCAAATTGCAGTGTGTTCATAGAGAGCGAAAGCTGAGCAGCTGAAGACATGAGGACAACTGTCCTGAGAAGCCTGTCTGAGGAGAGGAGACAGAATAACAGCTAGAGGGGTTTGTCCCTCCTTCTCTTCTCTTCCTGCCCCTTCCTTTCCCTTCCCTTCCCGTCCCATCCCTTCCCTTCCCTTTCTTTCTTTTCCTCCTTCCCTCCTTCCTTTCTTCTCCTTCCCTCCCTTCCTCCCTCCTCCACTCCCTTCTTTCCTTCCTTCTTTCTAAGCAACACTTGTACCTCTTTAAAGGCTGTTGGATAGGATCCTATAGAAAAAAGTCTAAAATTCAAGAAAGGAAATAACAGAGAATTTTTGGGCAGAGGAGGATAAATGGAGGGACTTACCTGGAATAAGAGAAAGAATATCCTTTTTTTTTTTTTTTCTGAGAGGGGAGGAAAGTAAGGAACATGGCTGATACAGGAAGGTTTTAGTAGGAAAGCAAGAGGTGGTCAATCAGGAAGTTGTAGGAGTTTCTGTCTGCTAGCCTTCAAGTTATGTGCAAGGGAGTTGGCAAGATCATATGCTGAGAGTATGGCAGAGAGGCAGAAATTGAGTAGGAGGACATAGGGAGATCTTTGGAATAGTGATAGCAGAGAATGGGGGAGGGTAATAAAATAAATGGCACAAAGGGCTCATGTGGGTAGGACCACATGTTGAAGACACCTAGTATATTTGAGACTCATAGTATACTTTTCCCCTAGCTGCACCTAGATGAGGTAAAGAGATCCTATCAGATGAATTCAGGGATGGAAGGGTGAGGCGAGCGAGGCATTCAATAAATATCTACTTCCCAATTAGGAAGTACAGGTTGGTAGTACAGAAAAACATGCAGTTATGACTTTCCAATGAGAAGAAATGTTTTCATTTGAAGTTAATGTCAAGGCCATGAATATCTTCTAAAATTGTTGGTTTCTGGTATGGGCATAAAAGATAAACTGAAAAATATCAGGTGGTACCACTTGGTTATTGGTTGTGATTGCCCTTATCTCAAGAACATAGCAGGGGTAATCAACTCCATTTTTGCCTTACCCAAGTTAAGGAAGACAAAGAATTCCTACATATCAAATCCTCTTGTCCTTGCAGACAACCTTCAATGTTCTTGGAAGTAGTAGGAAGTGACATTTGGGAACATGCTCACAAAGTGTCAACACACAAGATCATTTCTTACATTTACTGCATGAAAGCAGAAACACTTCTTTCTTAGAAAAGAGATCTGAATTCTGATGAGGGAGAAGTAAATTTTAAAAAGCAAGAGCCAGAATCAGCCAATTTGTCCTCTTTTATCTGGCTAAGAAAGTAAACCAATCTTCCAGCAGACAGGAGTCAAAGCAGGAAAGGGAAATGGGGTGAATCAGAAAGAACACCCAAGGATTCACGGAGAAAGTTACAGCTTTGCTACTCCTTGAAATTGCAATATTTATGTAATATTTCAGAAAGAAACCCATACCTGAGCCAGGACCCATCCTGTGATATTAATTTTGGTATGAACTGGGAGCACAATTCACACGTGTGTGATTGTGATTATGAGTGTGATGTACTGTAAAGGGGAAGGAAAGGAAACTAACGTTTGTTGGCTCTTCTTAGGTGCTAATAACTCACTTTTTCTCATTTAATTCACATATCAACTCTGTGCCACAGATGCGATTTTCTGTATTTCAAAAGGGGAAGACTCTGGGGCTCAGAGCAGTATGAGAAATCATTCAAGTTTGCACACAGAGACTACAAACTGCATGACTCAGATACAGACCAGGGAGACAGGTAGCATGGGCCTGGGGTCCCGGCTTTGCAGCCCTGTGACTTGGGGAACTAGTTAAGCATAACAGTACCTGGGATGGTCAGTTTAGTGTGTAAGTGTCTAGACTACAGTTCTCCATATATTCAATCAGATGCCATTCTAGGTGTTGCTGTGAAGGTGTTTTGCAGATGTGATGACAATCTATAATCAGTAGACTTTAGGTGAGTTGACTGGATAATCTGGGTAGGCCTGATTCAACCAGTTGAAAGGGCTTAAAAGTAGGGCCGAGGCTTCCCTGAAGAAGCAGTTCTACCTGTGGACGGCAGCTTCGCTCTGTGTTCTGCATCTCAGCCTACCCTTCCCTACAGATTTTGGTCTTTGCTAATAAGCCCCCACAATAAATAGCAACGCATCTCTTAATATTATGTCTCCTACTTATTCTGTTTCCCAGATCAGAAGGGTTGTGAAGATTAAATGAAGTAGAGTATTACCATATGGAAAGCACCTGACACAATGCCAGGAACAATAAAGAGGGTTTGAAAAATGATTTATGATGACTTGGCAAACACAAAGTTGAGTCTACATCTAGTTGACTCCCAATGTGACCCTGGTTAAGTCATAACCCCTAAAAGCCCTGGTTTCTTTTATATGAAATTAAGAGGCTGTGTACCAAATGATGTTTGTATAAACTCTTCCAGTTCTGATGTTCTCTGGGTCAGTTTTGACCCAATTTATTAGATTTTTATTTGGCTTGGTCTACTTCCTCCAGCTACCAGATAAGATCTATTTCATTACTGGTACGTTCAAGGCTGTCCCTACACAAATGGCTCCATAATGACTGGGTGAGAATGCAAACTAAGTTTAATATTAACCTGAGCAAAGTGTTCCTTTTATTTTTGTCAGTAGTTATAGAGCTTCTGCTCTACCCCAAAATACAGGCCGTGGGGGATATAAAAAAAAGCATTAAATCTGGTTCCCACCCTCAAGGAGCATAGGGAGGTATCTAAAAATCAGATACTACTATGAAAGACAATATATTTAAGTCTAAGTACTACAGAAGTTGACCAAAAGGAGACAATAAGAACATTCTGAGCTGGAATAATCAGAAAGGCTTAATAAAAGAGGCAGGGTTTCCACAGATGCGATATCTATGTAAGAGATGAGAATGAAGCTAAATCTACTCTTGCTGTGTGTCATGTATTCCAAAAGTGAATGGGTGAGATTTGGGGAGCTAATTACATTGCTGCTTGCCTTTGTTGGCACTGATAACGGAGGAGTAGATGCTTCATAATTCCAGGCTTTCTCTCCTATTCTCCCTGGCATGTTCTGTGCAAGGATGAATGGACAGAAGGTGCACTACACTGCATGCACTTACACATGCACGCCTGCAGACACCATGATGATCCCCAGCCTCCATGTATCTGGGAACCCCTCACAGGAGCTTAAGTCCCATTAAGGTGGGGGTCTCTGCTTCTCTTGTCCACTGCATAAATATTTAAGAAATAAATCCAAGAAATCCTCTCTCTCCAGAACATGGGAGACATAAAGGGGACGTTTCTCTATTTGAAACTTTCAATGACATTAAAACCTTAAAAATGATGATTCTTATACGTTGGAAATTCTTTGATTTGCAATGTCAGCCCAATCTGACCCCTACTCCCTGCAAAATGTTGCTTAAGATTTACTGGCAGGGCTTCTTGACCAAAGCGCCATCGACAGAACTACTGCCAAAAACTTGCTGGAGCTGAACAAAAAAACCAGTAGGTGTGGGTAGAAGAAAAGTTATGCTTGAATGGCAAGCAAACATCAGAAGCATTAATTTTACAAGCTCACATTTGAAATCAGATAAAGGCAGCTTGACTTTTTAAAGGCAATATTCATTTCTATCAGTTTAGTAAACAGCTCTTAGCAACATTGATAGTCATCTGCAATGGGCAGAAACAAAGAAGCCTTATTAACAGTTAAATTTAAATTGTTCGCTAATCTTACTTTAGTTTATTACCTCTTTCATAATGATCTTTTTCTAAACGAGTCTAAAAAAATATTTGGTGATGTGTGTAAACAAGCCAGAAATTCTCAAGACTGTGGTCTAATGAAAGCAAATAAACAGGGTTTATAAAATAATTCAGTACACTGAAAGGGGCAGTGTTTGGGGTGTAAATATAGATTTCTACAAACAAGAAGTTAATAATCATAAGTCAACATTCATAAGGATCACTATAAAGACCGGAAGTGGAAAAATATCCTCTAGATTCAGAAACATCTCAGTCAATTGTAAAATAATTCTGTCTATGGATTAACATTTATATTCCAAGAAATTTTTGCAACTGTTTATTGAGATCCGAATATATGTCATGAATAATTCTCGAAACATATTGTGCTCAATTAATGCAATCAGCTATTACATATTTACCAAAGACTGGACTCTGAATAGTCTGGGTAATGTACTGTACATGTGCTGTTTTTGCCCATCCAGCCTCTATGTACTCACCCTTGCTCTGTTAATGACACCTGAATTTTCCCTTGAGGAGCCACTGTTCCCAACTCTACACTATGTGTTTCTATGGGGCTAACCCCACCCTCCTAGCTCCAAGGGTATTCGGTGGTCATGACTTCCTCAGCTGTCCTTTGGCCACAGTGATTAATTCAGAGATGGTATGGTGATATAAGCCAGGCCAACGAGACTAAATTCTGGGTTTTTGTTGGAAAAACCTAGCTAAGAGAAGCTCTCTTCCCACAGGTTACCAAGCTGTAAGAGTGATGAGCTGAGACTCTGCTTAGAAAGACCCCAACACAGAAGATGGTGAGTGAGACCAAATCTTGACAGTGGTTCTCGGTATATTCAACTTGCCCCCAGATCTTCTCTCTCTTCCTTGTTACTAGCTGACTAAATGGACTCTATCAACCTGTCGTCTCCTCTGGCTTCCGGGTGGGAGTACTAACTAATGTGGTCAGTCACATAAGATAATTTATTTTCCAGTCCCTTTCTGTTGGGTCTCCTCAGGCTGATTGTCTCTTTACTAAAGGTTATAGCTCCTGTCAGGGGACCCTTGCCATACAACTCTCTGTCTTCGGGTTCCAGTAACCACTCTTGCTTTGCTCCTTCTTGTCTAGAGATGATAACAATGTCCCACAATTACCTGCTGTGTTACTTCAATATGCCTTGTAATCTTCCTAAACTCTGCCCTCATCATTGTAAGTAGTCCTTTTGTAAACAAAAACAAAAACAAAAACAAAACAAAAAAACAAAAAAACAAACAAAAAACAAAAAAAAAAACCCAACAGTTATATGGAGCCATCTATTTTCTGCCAGACCCTGACAGATAAAATGACCTTATTTGAGTTCTGGACTCTGACATGTCTAAAGATAGTGATACTCCTGACTTTTCAGTTATTTAAACCAACAAATTCCCTTTTTTCCTAAAGGCCATTTGAATTAGGTATTCTGCCACTTATAACAGAGAGTCCCTAATACAGTTTGTTAGGCTCTTTTGATTGCATAGACTCACACAAGTCACTTAAAAAAAAGAGAGTAACCCCCAATACCTCAAATGTGATTGTATTTGGAGATAGGGTCTTTAAAGAGACAATTAAAATGAGGTTATTAGCATGGGGCCTAATCCAATCTGACTAGCATCCTTATAAAAAGAGGAGATTAGGACACAGACACGCACAGAGGGAAGACACTGTGAGGACACAGGGAGAGATGGCCATCTATGAGCCAAGGAGAAACCAATTCTGCCAACACCTTGATATCAGACTTCTAGCCTCCAGAACTGTGAGAAAATAAATTTCTGTTGTTAAGCCACTTAGTCTGCAGTACATTGTTATAGGATCCCCCAGAAAACTAATACAGGTACCTATAAACTAGAACTGGGAAAGACACTTCTAGAAGCCAATGACTGTCTCCAGCAATGTGAGCCAGCATGGGCTCTTAGCTTTGGCATCTGTATCTCTCTGTAAATTAGTTCTATTTACCTTTATTACTCACTGGCCAATCTTTCCATATTTCCCAATCCAAAATAACTGGCTTGGCTAACTACCATTGATACCATTGGGGTGACACCTTTGCACTAATCCACCTCATGGGTTTCTGGCCAGCAAAGGATAAACTGCCATTGGATCATATGCCCTCATCTGATTCCTCCAGTGGCTGCCATGTGCAGGAAAAATTACATGCTGGCTTCCTGCATGGAAAGTGGTAGGAGGGTCAGTTTCAGGGAGAAAGAGGTGGTGAATACAGCTGGTATTTGACAAGTCCAGCATCTGGTCTCCTGGGCCAATAGTGTTAATAATTATATGAAAACATCAACGGTAACACATACTGCTCAGATTTGGCTTCAATTGTTAGTATAGTAGCCAATTCCTCATTTCAGTTACTCATAAGGCCTACTTTCTTGGCCTTGAGTTTTATGAGATAGCCCAGAATCTTACAATAACTACACTGTTTTGCTTGAGTAAATTTGATGTGTTTGTTACTTGAAAACAACAACAACAACAACAAAAACACCTTGATTAAAATCATTTCAAAAGAGAGCAGTGATTTTGTCCAAGAAAGAGGGATCTGTTCATGAGTACACGTGACTTTTCATGGTATTCCTGGCAGCGCCACCAACTTTGTGACCATGCCGGGGTCCCTGCGGCTCTGCCCGTACATGAGAAACAGGAGGAGTGCTGAAGGGGTCCACCTCCCCAGACCGTCGCCAGAGGATCTTAAGGAGGTACCTCCTGAGGTCGTCCACTCCTACCTCAGACAGGAATTGTTTTCTTACAGTTTCTGAAACCCTAGAAAAGAGAATTATTTCAAATTTCCTAAGTGTTAAATTTTTTTTTCCCTTCTCCATTGACTTTCCAGCAGCTCTTTCTTTACTTCCTGATCCCACAGAGACAGGATCAAGTGGGTGCAGGACTTAAGTTCCACAATTTGTGGAGCTAATGTCATGTGTCCGGCCATTTGATTACATTTCTGTCAGTGGTCATGTCTCCCTTTGGGGAGGTCAGGGGTGATGTGGGAGGTGTCAGCTGGAGGTGGGGGCAAGCTTGTGGGGCTAGGCTTTCGGGCCTACTCTGCTGCCCAGTAGTCCTGTCCAGCAGGATGGCCAGGGCCATTTCGCTTGTGTCCAGGGGCCTGGAGGTGTGGAAGTCTGAATGGGTACAGGAAGCTTGACCCTCTACTAAAGCTGAATATTTTGGAGGAAAAAGGGGCATGCATGGAAAAGCACCTTTTAGTTACTAAAGGCAAAATGTGAAAACATTGAAAGATTTAAGTAAAGAGAGCCACAAGATCACATTTTCACCCTAGAAAGCTCACTCTAGATCATTCTGAATGGAGAGAGTGGTTTAGAGGTGGGCAGGCTGGAGGTAGAGCCATGCTCGAAGGTTGGTGCAGGAAGCCAAGCTAGAGATGACGGACTGGATGAACTAGAGCCAGTGGGGAGGAGGAAAGGAGGACACCAAGAAAAATGTAGAGACTGGAAGTGTGGCTAGGACCTGTTGTCCGATACCCCAGGAGGAGCGGCTGCGAAGGTACATCTAGGGTGCTAGGACCTTTGACTTTGACGGTGAGGAATGGGATGGGACGGTCAGGACCATGCCAGAGCAACTCTGCCTTCAGTTCCCCTCTTGCCCAAGGTCAGAAAAGAATGTGGAGACGTATCAGGACATTGTAAATTCTTTAAAAGGCAAAAGGATCTCCCCCTTAGAAAAGGCTGGTAAAAGAGAACTGTCATCTGTGGCAGAGATAGCAGGGCCGGAAAGAAGAATCTCTGCGTCATTTGGAACTGAACAGAGCTAGCGAAAAGTAAGACAGCGGCCCTTAGGGAGCGCTGAGGAGCATCCAGTAGCGATGCTCAGGAGTCTGCACTCCCCTCAGAAATTAAGTATTGGCAGTGTGTTCCCAGCTGGTCTTTTATGGAAAGGAGCTATTTAAGGGAGATGAAATAAAGGATTAGAATTTTCAGTAGCAGCATATTAAAAAAAATGTTTTCCCTAAATATATTTACATCCCTCCCTTTTCTGCTCCCCTTCATTTTAGTGACCACCTGAATGACAAATAATTAAAGCCAGACCTTTGTCTGGTGAGGTAGATTGTATTGTCACGTAAGTATCTGCTCTCTTTCCTTCCTCCGTTGACTAGGTCTGATTGTGTGACAAGCTTTGGCCAATAAAATGTGAGCAGTAGCTTAAAACAGGCTTGTGTGATTTGGCTTGGCCTTTTGCATTGCTGCCCTCTGCCATGAAAAGCGCCCTGGGTGCTGACTGAGAGCAGAGAAGCAAATCTGAACTACCTGCAGGCTGGAGCAGAGCCATTGCAGGCAACCTCAGACCCGTGATCTAATAGCAAATATTTGATAAAACTGTCACCTGTGATAACTTGAAGTCAAAAAATATACCTTATGAACATGTGGTTTTGGTGAAGAGATTTCAACACAGACTATTATCAGCATAAGTTGGCTGCTGCCTTCGTTAAGGTCTTTCAAGAAAGAATTGGCCTAAATGGAGATCCCCCAGCCACCCCCCAAAAGATTGGCCTGCTTGCAGGCAGAGATGAAAGAATAAAGAGTGACTCCAGAAATTCTAAGACTTGCAAATTTGAAAAATAGAACTGTTTCTCATCTCCAAATAGAAAAAGAAAATTTTGAGAAATGCTTAAGGCTGCAAAGGCTGGTTAAGATGCTAAATAAGATCCAGTCTCATGACCAAGATCAAATAAAAATCACCATCATACTCTTTTGTAAACCTTTGGATAGATTAAGGTGGCACCCAGTATATTTTTTAATCTGGACAAAATGGCTCACAGGAAAAAGAGAAGGACTAGGTTCCACAAAGACTGATAAGCCCAAACTATTTGTAATTAAGTTTAGAGAGAGGGAGGCATGACTTGAAAATTATTGTGGATACAGCTCTCATCTCACGTAGCTAATTGAATCACACAAAAAAATTTTAAATAGTTTTTGAGAGAAATTTAAATTCCAAAGCACCTTGGTCTGGATTAAAAGAGGCCGTGACTTTTTTTTCTAAATGAGATTGTGACTGTTTGAGCCATAAAAAAAGATCTTAAGATAATAATAATGTATCAGTATTAGTTCATTACTTGTGACAAATGTACCATACTGATGTAAGATGTTAATAATAGGAGAAACTAGATATTGGGTGTATGGGAAAACTCTGTACTATCTTAGCAACTTTTGTGAAAATGTAAAAGTATTCTCAATTAAAATTTTATTAAAAAAGAAAACCTTAGGGTCCCAATATTCTGCAGGCAGATAGTGGGATGAAGAAGCTGCACAGCTTCCAGGAAGAGCATATTCTCCTTTGGATGTGGCCAAGAAGGATCATGGAAAATTATCTCTCAGAAGGTGGAGCCAAGAGTCATAACAACAGTGGTAAGGAAAGCTATTCCCAAGGAACGGAACTGGAGTCAAATCAAGGAACATTCCCTACCTCCAGCTTGAGGACTTGGCAATAGTTGAGCCCAGGAAGATTTCAGAATTGCTGCAGACCAGTGACTGCTTCCCCTTCTGCAATAGACTGTTTATTTTTATTATCCTGTCTTTGATCTATTATGGTATGTTGAGTGGGGGTACCATTCAGCAAATACTCTCTGTCTTCCTTTCCTCACCTATATGGAGAGTGTCCTACCCTCTCCATTGCTGTTGGGGCTAGCCATATGAGTTATTTTGGCCAATGAATGTGAGCAGAAGCTTTGAATGTGCTTGCACTATTTGACTTGACTTATCAGTCTTTTGTGTTCCCACACTCTACATTAAGAAAAGTTTGGCCTACGAGCCACTGTTCTTTCAA